TTCCTGCTTGTCGGTATGCTGTGACATTGACCGACTACTATTCAAAGTGGCCTGAACTTGCCTTTTGCCCATCCGCCACAACTGACGGTGTCATAGATTTTCTGACCACCGTTTTTAGCCGTCATGGAAATCCGGAAAGCATTGTCACTGATAACGGGATGCAGTTCACATCAGCTGCCTTTGCTGAATTTCTTAAGACCCGGGGTATACACCATAACAAGATATCTGTGTACTACCCTGCAGCCAATGGAGCTATTGAGAGGTTCCACCGTTCTCTGAAGGGCTGCATACAGACAGCCATCCTGCAGTCACAGCCTTGGAAGGAAGCTGTGACCAACTGGCTTCAAGTGTTTCGTGCGACACCTCATGCCACTACCTCAACCTCACCTTATGAACTGCTCTATGGACGTAAAATGCGAACCAGACTGGACATTTTGCCCATTGCTCCTATGTCGAATTCATCTGTCCATGACACTGTGGAAAGGAAACAAGCCAAGATGAAACAGTACACTGACATTAAGCGGCATGCTCGTACCCCGTCTTTTGCTCAAGGGGAGAGAGTGAGGGTCAGAATTCCTCGCTTAGTCCCTAAAGCACACTCCAGATTCTCTGCTCCGTTAACAGTGGAAAAGCGTGTGAGTCCAAACACCTTTCTGCTAAGTGATGGGAAGAGATGGAATGTCACACACTTGGCTCATTCTCATTCTGCACCCGTAAGTGGAGGTCAAGTTGATACACCAACTTGCGCACAACTCATTCAGGGTACTTCTCCGAAACAGCCACGTAGTAGATTCAAACCTAAGTGGCACAAAGACTATGTAATGTAACTGATTGAGATTTGAAGGGTTAAGAACAGTTGTTAGTTGAACCAAGCTGTAAAAGAAATGTACTTTAAAAAGTGTTCTGAGGTTCATGAATGTGAAATCATTTAATTTCAGTGGTAAGGAAATTGTCAAAGAAATTTGACTGCCATATGTTAGTTATGTGTTAGTTATATGTTCAAACAGATGTCACCTTCTTTTGTAACTACAGTTGCAGGCTTTATTGCAATAATTTCATAATACGAAAAGTGTTCAGTTACTGAAGTAGTGTTCTTAACAGAGAGGGAAGATGTTGTGTTCTGTGAATCATTGTGATACTGAGTGTGGTCGCTAGACGGCAGTAAAAGACCTAATAAGAGACCTAGAGGGGGTGAGGAAGAACTGGAGTGGCTGATGATGGTAATGTTTACTGATGCTTCCTACATTAAAGACAACCGTTTGGAGTTAGCTTTTGTTTTTATTCTTTTTTACATCTTACAACATCACAGCTATATGTCATTTATATTGTAGAACAAAGCTCTTCAAATCATTTTAATCACAGACCATATTTTATTTAAAAACCTAAACCTGTCTATAGGAAATTATAAATGTGAATTATCCTTCTGCTCTATTAGATTTCGTTCAGAATCTGAACACAAGACCGACAGGTGACCATAACTCTCATAATATCACAAACATATCCAAACTAAAGGCCAGAATGTGTTATTAATGAGCCGCTCTGGTTTGAAACTCTCAGCAGAGATGATATAACACAGATGAGTTTAGATAAATCTGAGACGTTTTCTGCTCAGAGTCGAGCGTGACTCACTGAGTTGCGACACATTGTATCAGCTGGGCGTGGCGCACGCCACAACACTCTTAAAGAGACAGTTCATCCAAAAATCTCTCATCGTTTGCTTTTGTGTTTTAATTCTTTCACACAACACACAATGAGTCACATTACATGTAGCAAAAATAAATAACACTGACAGTGCTATTGAACTGAACTGAAACAGCGCTGATCTGAATAATGAGCCGAAACTGGATCTGTTTGAAACTGATGAATTTTACAGCATTATGTCCTGTTTATTCATGTGAAGCTGTGTTGTGTCAAGCGCTATAGGAACAAACGTGAGTCCAGATCAATGTGTGCCTGCGCCTTTAAGACACGCTCCGTTGGTGACGTGAGGCGTGACGCGCCGCGGACGATGGGCAACAGTGTTGCCAAGTCCTCTGTTTTGGCTGCTTTAACTCTATTGCAGTGGGTTGTTTTTCATTTGTAGCAATAGCCAAAAATACATTGTATGGGTCAAAACTATCGATTTTTCTTTTATGCCAAAAATCATTAGGATATTAAATAAAGATCATGTTCCATGAAAATATTTTGTAAATTTCCTACCGTAAATATATCAAAACTTAATTTTTGATTAGTAATATGCATTGCTAAGAACTTAATTTGGACAACTTTAAAGATGATTTTCTCAATATTTAGATTTTTTTGCACCCTCAGATTCCAGATTTTCAAATAGTTGCATCTCAGCCAAATATTGTCCCATCCTAACAAACCATACATCAATGGAAAGCAATCATATTCAGATGATGTATCAATCCCAATTTTTAAAAAAAACGGACCTTTATGACTGGTTTTGTGCTCCAGGGTCACAATTAACAAAGTAAATCCAAATATAAAGTAAATAAATCAAGGAAAGAGCTTATGTAGAACAATGTTAGGGCATTCAAATTTAAATAGCACACTTAAAATAATAGGGAAACATCCAAATGGATTATGTGAACAACCTCATGTTGAAGAAACAATACCTCATGCATTTCTCGAGTGTAGAAATATAAACAAGAAAGTCGAGTCACCGATATTTATACAGCGCTTTTTAGAATGCAGATTGTGTCAAAGCAGCTTTACAATATTAAACAGGGAAATACTTTGTCGAAATAGTGTTCCTAGTGTTTCAGACGAGACCAGCTGCTTAATTCCAGGCTGCAACAAAGGGGGTAAAATGATATGAAAATGAAAAAAAAAAGAAGGAAAACTGGAATTCAAGAATTAAATATTAAAGGTTTTAACAACATAAATAGTAAAGTCTTCTTTGATTTTATTAGAGAAACGGGATTGATACATAGAATATAAAGCTCTGTTCCACACTCCGGAGCAGAAGGTGGCGGTAATGCACCTATTCACGTTGGTTGCCAGCCGCCGTTAAAAAGCAAAAAGAAGAAGTTAAACAGAAGCGTAGCAACTGGGCGGGGTTTATTGTGAAAACCTGGCAACCCTGGTGAGCTCGCGGAGCGCAGACGCAGCACACGGTCCGCCGGAATAATGCGCTTCTAATGCTGGGCCGCGGTCCGAAGCAAGGCCATCCTCAGCGCGGAACGCTCACCGAACTCCGGCCGGTACCGAGCGGAAGAACGGCGGATTGAAAACAGCAGCGCGCGACGGAGAGAGAGAGAGAGAGAGAGAGAGAGACACTGCCCAAGCGCTCAGAGCCATGAGAGAATACAAAGTGGTCGTGTTGGGATCCGGCGGCGTGGGAAAATCGGCGCTGACCGTGCAGTTCGTCACCGGATCCTTCATCGAGAAGTACGACCCGACGATAGAGGACTTCTACCGCAAGGAGATCGAGGTGGACTCGTCGCCGTCGGTGCTGGAGATCCTGGACACGGCGGGCACCGAGCAGTTCGCCTCCATGCGCGACCTGTACATCAAGAACGGCCAGGGCTTCATCCTCGTGTACAGTCTGGTCAACCAGCAGAGCTTCCAGGACATCAAGCCCATGCGCGACCAGATCATCCGCGTCAAGCGCTACGAACGCGTGCCCATGATCCTGGTGGGCAACAAGCTGGATCTGGAGGGCGAGAGGGAGGTGTCTTCCGGGGAAGGCAAGGCGCTGGCGGACGAGTGGAACTGCCCGTTCATGGAGACCTCGGCCAAAAACAAAGGCTCGGTGGACGAGCTGTTCGCGGAGATCGTGCGGCAGATGAACTACGCGTCGGCGCCGCACGGAGACGACCAGTGCTGCGCGTCCTGCGCGATTCTTTAAAACCGAGCGCGACTTCTGGTTTCTCGTTCGCGTTTGTTGCCATGGTGAGTGAACGAGTGAGCGAGCGCATACCGACGGAGAACGAGGACAGACAGACAGACATCGCTTGAGGGGAAAGTTCAGACGAAGACTGAAGTTCTGTGACGTCGCGACCGACTTACGACTGTCGCTCGTGCGGGTTTGTAACAAATAGACAGAACTTTCAGTTCGGGGGACCGTTGCCTTAAAGGGCCAGTTCACCCCAAAATGAAAGTTCTGTTATGCTGATGACACACTGGGCAACTTTTTGAGCAATGTTGCCATCAACGGGTAACCAGGTGAGACACTGGGGCATGTATTACCCATTCTTACGGCTGAGCTATATGGCAAAACATTTAAATCTCGATTTTCTTTTTTCAGAACGTTTGACCGATTCTCGATTTTTTTTTTTTTTACTATTTTTAACTGGTCAACTTGAAAATGTAACTACAACATGATTCAAGTAACTTGTTCTTTTTTTAACCCTCTAGTTAAAGAAAATTCTATCCCAAGTGCAGCACACATGACGTTGTCAACATGATGTATACTTGTTAAATGTCTTTGCAGGAAAGAATAGTATATGTTCAGAAATTATTGGCATATTGTCAAAGTGTTTAATTTTAACGTTTGGTAATATTACTATTCAAAATCGCGATTCCTCGATTTCTAAAAAATAAAATTGTGGCAAAACATTATATTTGAATTTCAAATCGATAAAATCAGAAAAATCTGAATGGGAAAGGGCCCAAGCAACGCTGCTCAAAAAGTTGCCGCTTGTATCATCAGCCATACCATTCATTTGTTCCATACCTGTACGAGTTTCTTCTGTTGAACACAAAACAAGATATTTTGAAGAATGTGGCTAACTAAACAATTGTTACTCCCCTTTGACTCTCACAGTATGAAAAACAAGTACTATGGAAGTCCATCGGGACCAAAAACTGTCTTCTTTTGTTTTCAAATTGAACGACGACAGAACTTTGTTTTTTTGGTCGAACCGTCGCTTTAACTGTCATCAGTATTCCTATAAGTGTCCTACCATGTCTTGCACACGACAACAGAATATTGAAAGCAGTGTTTACATGACAGAATACTTGAATGTTCTGGGATTATATAAATATATGTATAGACACAAACCGACACGTTTAAATCGGAGGCACTTGAGGTGCTTTTGTTTTCAGGTGCCTGACTGTGTGGTGTTGTCTTTTGCAACGCAGACGAGCGCTAGTAATTAGTTTTTTTTGTTTGTTTGTACTTTATTTTGGAGGTGTGTCGCAGGATTTCTGTACTGTTGAGCGACGCGTCTCCTCAGGAGGAGGAGGAGAAGCCTGGAATAGCGGATCACTCTTCAGGAATTGCAGCACACCATTGATGTCAACACAAGTGTCTTGCATTCGCAACTGGAACTTAAACCCCAAGAACGTGAAAAACCAAGACGCGTGGGAGGAGTTTAAAAAGGCTATGTTTTGCTCGTGGACTTGGAAACCCTTGTTGTGAATCGTTTTGCTTTTCGTTCACCTGGATTGAAACTACTTTCT